AAACATCATAAAGACCATAGAAAACATGGAACTGATGGAGAATATCGGAAAAAGAAGCGAAAGAATGTATGTTTCTTTTTTTGTATTAAACTTCTTATAATGAAATTTTTTTTTGTTTTTTTTGCATGTAATTTAATTGAATTTCCAGCTGAGATTATGCTTCTATTTAACGTATCACCTCATCAAATTGTTTGCACTTAGGAGAAGGAAAAGGAGAGAGAAAAGTACTATTAATTGTTCGGGCTATGGGTTGTTTATTTACCAAGGTTTGTTTATTTTATTTTTCCTTTATTTATATAAATTATATATATAATTAAAAAAAAAAAAAAAAAGGTTATATATACCATTTGTTGTTATCTCTTACCATAGTAAATTGATTTACAAATTTTCAGAGTTTTTATTAGTAGGAATATGGTTGCAAGTGATTATGACGAAACATAATGGCGGTTTTTCTTTCGTTTGATTGTACATACATTATTAATTACTAATATATTTAGATTCGATTTATTTTTTTTTTTTTTAGAGAAAAATAATATACATTATACAATTTATTCAATTTATTTTTATTTTTTTTTTATTTTTTTTAAATCAATATGTCAAACGTTATTACATATTTGTTATTTGTTGCTTTTGCTTTATTATCAATAATGTGATTTACATTAAACGTTTTTCTTTTAATTCATTGTGTTGGTTAATAATAACAATGTTTAAGCTAAAAGGTTAATAAAGAAGAATCGGCTCTTGTTTAAAAATATATATCTTTTAATTAGTATTTTTATCTAATGTCTGGAAGATATAATTTAGCATGATCCTTCTAGATTGCTTAATTCAAACTTTTTTTATTCTATAAATACCTTTCTACTATAAACAGAGATTTTTTTTTCCGATGAATAAAGATGAAACAAAATAAAAAAAATGAAGCAAATAAAAATCTCTCAAATTAACTCGGTAGTGATTGAAAATATTTTTTAGAAATTAGGAGATACTTGAAAATTTTTTTAAAAAAAATTACATTTATATATATAATACACGATGTTGATTGATCAAATTGAAAATTATTTAAAAAATATGGGTGAAAGCAAAAAGAATACTAAACCCTAATAATTTACATCATTTTTCGTCACAATAGCAAGATAATCTTCGAACTTGTACTGTTGAATACCTATTACGGTAGAATACTTCGAAAATCATAAATCGCTATGGTGTAGGTTCATTGTTTGATAACAAAGGAGTTTCTTCAGTCGGTGAACAAATATCACGTTTACAGTTAGGACACTATAGTAAAGATAAATTAAAGTTTCAATTGATGCTTCAAATCATAACCAATTCATTAAAATTGTACGTACGAATTTCTTTCTTGTCGTTAACCAATTGTCAATACACTCGATGTGGAATTCGTGTTTGCATGGCAGAATCCTTAACTCATCCTCATCAACATATTCTTCCAAACAAATTGAGCAATCTGTAGGCTCATTCTCTTGCCTCTTTGAATTGAAGAATATTTTTGTAGCCAAGTTTCCAACAACTTGTTGAGGCGCTATATCTCGTACACGTATTTGACGTTGTCGGATACGCCATAAAACATAAATAAAGATCATCATTACTGTCGGTGACAGAATCACAACAATGATTACATCAAGTAAAGGCCTGAATAAAAAAAAAAAAAGACTATTCAATAAATGATGACTCGTTCAATTATATTCATTGCAAAATATGGATTCGGCATTACCACTGTAAAAGGTTATCTTTGACAAGCTGTACTTCTATATGTTTTGATCCTTCTACGGTTGACTTTATAGCTCTATATTCGGATTGCGCAATAAACACTGAAGGAATTGCCACATCAGAAGTATCCCCTAAAGAAAAAGAAGAATGTTATAGGAATTTTTTTTTTTTTTTATTAAATAAATTCGCCAATGAAAGAAATTAAAATATGATAAATACATATCATTCGTAATAACTCACCGGTGGCATACATGGTTATCAACCCGTTTCGATCATTATCTCCTACAACCACTGCGATAGCACCTGATGCCTGCATGTTTCGAACCTTATCAATGAAAGAACATAGACCGCGTTCTACAAGAACAATCCGATTTTTAACCTCAATAACATTTTTCAAATTGTTGCAACCCTTTTTATTATCAGGCTCAATATCCTCTACCGAAACAAGGTCTCCAAAAAGACCTTCATCAGTAAGACGTGGTCCAAACGCAGCGATTCGATCTTGATACGTTACATTTGTCGCCTATTGAGTAATATTTTTGGGCATAACATAATTGATTATATAATGCGAACTAAAATGTCGTTCAAATCAAATGGATTAAAATGAGACAAAAATGCTTATAAAAAAAAATAAAAATTTATACGTAAGAACTTCCAAGCTTTAAATTCAAAAGCATTATTTAAATATAAAATCATCAAATGTAAAAATATGTAAAGAAAATTCAATACATTATCC